AGGTACAGAAGACAGAAATTAATTAAAAATGAATGGAATGGGAAACAACATAGATTATGATGATTGCTCAGTAAAAATTAGGCAAGTTTCTAAGAAAAGGGCAATAAGTAGTATTATATGAAGAGATACTGTTCCAAGTTGGATCTGTCAGTTTTTTTTACTCAAGAGTAAGAAAGGAGAAATACATGCCAGGTATTTTATACTGTATATGTTTTAATACTCACGGTATTTTATGCCAGCTTTTAACTCACTACCTGCTCTAATGCTTGGCTGAGATTTACAGAGTCCTAATGAAATTTATTGTTCTGAATCTCAAATAAAATATTTGCTACTTATAATCTCTATAGACTTCATCATTATCCTCTAAAATAACAAAGGACTGTGGACATAAGCAATTTACAAGTGTGAATAATATTTTCCCCTTATGATTTTTTGTTTTTATAAGGATGCTCAGAAAAAGCTAGTATTATATATTAGATTGAAATGTTTGTGTTTTCTAAAAGTCTTTAAAGCTTTAATTAAGAACTTAGTTGTCTCTTATATGTGGCAAATGCATTAGCGGTTGAGTTAAAAGCAGTACTACAAAAACTTACTTTGAAATGCTTTGCAGTTATTTAATCTGTTTTCCCACAGCCCTAAAATGAAATTGCTTTAGTATTCTGTTGTATTTATATAATAACGTTTTTATGTAAATTTTAATAGACTTTTTTTTCAAGCTGTCTACTTCTACGCATTCAAGTACAAGCTATCAGTGGCTGATACATGTGAAAACATGCAATTCCAATAAATGGAGCATTGTCCCTCATGACCCTGATATAGAAAATAGTACAGTAGGGAATGAAATGAGATGAAACAGGCTAATCACCTCTTCTCACGTTTAATTAAGGGACGTGACGTTATGGCTTCAGACGTTCCTTCCCATAGTAGAATGGAGTGAGCTAGCAATTGCATTTCTCCTTCCTCGCAGCTTCTCAACTAATTTATTCCTAAAAAAACATTCTGGGATAAATTTGAAAGGGGCATACAAAGAGAATGTGAGAGTTAAAGACTTGTGTGAATGAAAGTCTGCTTATCTTACATGGGATTCCAACCCATATTTTATGCCCCCAAAGTTTTTTTCTCTCCTATTGAGTGAAAATTCTTTACAGCCTATCACCTTACTGATATAATATCATGGCAAGATGAAAAAAGTAAACAAATATATTTCATTTTAATATTTTTTATGAGCAGAGTCCTAATAACTTCTAATAGTCCTCAAAAGTTGTACAAAATGTATTATGCTTATGGAAGACTAAATTTATATCCCTCTTTTATTATTTTTATAAACAACGCAAGGTGACAAATATAATATATCCAATACTCCTTCCTCCTCCTATTTTCCCCACAACAGCAATCCTATGAGGTGGATTGGGCTGAGAGAGAGTGAGTGGCCCAAAGTCACCCAGCAGGCTTTTATTGCTAAAGTGAGATTTGAACTCACAATCTCCCAGTTTCTAGCCTGATGCCTTAACTTAACCCAGGGGTCTTCAAACTTGGCTCTTTTATGACTTGTGGACTTCAACTCACAGAATTGCTCAGCCAGCGTGGGAGTTGAAGTCCACAAGTCATAAAAGGGCCAAGTTTGAAGACCCCTGCCTTAACCACTAGACCAAGCTGGGTCTCATTTTTAAAAATTTGCTTATTAAATTATATTTCTGTTTAACATAACCAAAATACATGGCTATTCATAGCTTTCTTGAGGAGCAAAGACCAGAGCTGACATTTTATTGTAGGTAGGATAGCTGACTTAGTTATCCATATTTTGGGGAGCACTGTTGGCTGAACACGGAGCACCATGTTACTTTTTTCATATTGTTTTCTATTTTGTAAATGTTGATGTAATTGTAATGGATTATATTTTTGATACAATTATATTTGTACGGTATTGACTGAAAATTATTAACCTCTTAATGTTTAGATAACAGACTGCTGAGGATAAAAAGAGCATCAGGTAACATGTAAGCTATTGATTCCTAAATGATAGCATTCATTCCCTGCACATATATTTTCAAACATATTTACAATTGTGGAAGAAAAAAAAAAAAGAAACTTTTAGTAAAGAAAACTCATTGTTTTAGAATTGCCTATCAGTAAATGTACCTTCAAAGCTGATTAGGAGGCTAAAAACTCATCTTATGAATAAAATATATAAAACAATATGGACATAAATTCTGTGTTAATAAATATGTTACTACAGTTTGATATCCACAATATTTGAATCTGTTGACCTTCAGGAAATCCCTTAAAACATGGATGTTCCAGCAGTTTTAAGGATCCCATGGAAATACAGTAGGGAGCTCATAAAGTGGTTAAACCGTGTGTGGGAGGCTGGTCCATACTAACACAACATGTCTTATATTTATGTTTAGTGGTTTTAAAATTGTTGTTTTAGGCTTTTTAAAAACTGTTATATTGTCCTCTACCCAATTCCATATTTGTAAGGTGAGTGGCTAAATAAATTTGATAAATAAATAACATAAATAGAACATTTTTATGGATATTTGGTCATATTCCACTTTATCTGAACCTGCTTCTACTAAAATCATTTAATAACTGAAATGCAATGAGGGTGTTTCTCTATGTGTCCATGTAACATAAGAGATATCAAACTTTGATCATACAGAAATTATTTTCTTCTGCAGATAAAGTGACCAGGACAGGAATACTTTCTCTGACCAGTAATATCCTCCATTCATTGAAAAAGTCCCTCTAAAATTTATCAAGTTAGCAAGTTATCAATTTATTATGTTGAGCAAGTTAGCCACATTAATATAGGTGTTTAACATTCTCAGAAGAGCAGGAGCATCTGTTGAATTGTAATGATGCTCAAGTAATGCCTGTACATTAATTTAAAAGTTGATTCTTTGAACTGAACAAGCATACTGCTTGTAACACAGAGTATCCCATTAAGAATCTGAAGTAAGTATAAAGAAGTCTAATTCCTAAACTGATTTTGAAGCTGATTTTTCAAATTAGACATTTAATAACCAGCCATAGATAACTAGAGAGCCAGTTTAGTCTAGCGGTTAAAGCAATGGGTTGAAAAACAGGTGACCATGAGTTCTAGTCCTGCCTTAGCCAGGAAAACCAGTTGGGTGACCCTGGGCCAGTCAGTCTCAGCCCAACTCAACTCACAGGGTTGTTGTTGTGGGGAAAATAGGAAGAGGAAGGTGGGAATACATTCACTTTGTTGAAGTATTTATAAAAAATAATAGAGCTGGGATTAAAAAAAAGTTTGCTGCCTTGAATTATTTGTAAAAATAATAAAAGCAGGAAATAAATAAAATTAAATAAATGATACAAAGTCATACATGGGCAGTTCATGGGCATACCATATTCCTAATTGCTTTGTAGCATTAGTCACTAACCATGAATGAGTAATGAGACAGTTTGCCAACAAAACTACATATTCTGCTGCCTAGATTACAGCACATTTTATGTCATACTTAATCATACCCCAGATCCTAAAAAGTCCACTGTGTTTCTATTGTCCATGGTGTTTATATTTTGTAGATGTTGAAAATTCATGCTGGTTTGAAAGGGGAGTCAGGGAGAAAAGAGGGATGCTAAAATTATTTTCCAAGAATATGTGGTTATTATTTTTTTTAAAAATGAAATAGCATGCCATTTATCCATACGGACCTCTAACATATTTGTTCTCTCTATTATATAGCATGTTTTGCATAGCTTTGTATTCAGATTTAGGGATCTTGTCTTCCATGTTATTAACATTTTGAAAATTATTTGAAAGGAAAAGAGACACAGTTTTCATCATTCAGTTCATTATGGCAACAGAATCTTTCTTCAAGCCTGAAAAAATACAGACACACTTAAATGAATATTGGACAGAGTTGTTCTCCAGTCTCCAAAGCATGTCTTATAAATAATTTTTGAAGCATGCACAATACTTCATGTCTAGCATGCTGTTGATGCAGATCAAAATTCTTGTATAATGATTAATAACAGAAGAAATCTATCTCACAAATGGAAGTCCTTCATGAAATCATAGAATTGGAAAGGACATCAGAAGTCATTCAGTTCCATATTGGACTCAGTGTGGAATCTGCTCAGAAAAGGGAACATAATACTTTATGAGGCAATCTGCAAGAATTCCAATATAGATCTTGAATCTAATTCCCCATAATTTTAGCCCCCTGATTCTGGCCCTACCTTTTTTTGGGCAACAGATTGAATTAGCTTTAGATATCCGAAGACTGCTATTATTGCTCCTCAATCTTCTTGTCTGTCCACCTAAACCAGTGTTTCCCAAACTTGACAATTTTAAGGCATGTGGAATTCTGGGAGTTGAAGTCCACATGCCTTAAAATTGTCAAGTTTGGGAAACACTGACCTAAACATATGACATTTGTTCAACTTTTCTTCCATTAGGCATGGTTTTTAGTCCCTCATCTTCTTGGGAGCATCTGATCCTTGGTAGCCCTCTGTCAGTAGTTATCAACCTTTTTGATCAAATGCTACTGTTGTCCTTCAAAGAATTGGAACGTTGACTCTAGGATTGCTCATCAATCTTTTTTATGGAGCACTCCAGCCCAAGCACATCTAGAATGAGGCCAAGACTATAAAAACAGCTTACAATCTTCTTTTGTGTTGAAAGAGAAGTGGATTAACATGATTTTGCTATGCTTTGATACATGTAGCATGGTTTTAATGTTTATGCAGCACGATATTATAGTATAATCAATATTAAAACATATGTCTTTGGTAAGCACATATTTTAGAACTGACAGATATCTTTGTGTCTTTTAATGAAGAGAATTTTGGCAATTTCACAAATGCTTTTTGCTCTGCGTACCAAAGGCCTATAACAGGAGAATAATCTTTTGTTAAAAATGTGTTAATGTCTTCAGATATAAATGAATCCGTCATTTTTAATATTTGTTTCAAACAGATAAGAACAGTGGCAGTCTTTTAATGGCTTTCTTGGATTGTTTCCCCTTCAGCCAATCCAACTTTAGTGAAGGAGAATGAAAACTGCATCTACTTTGCTGGACACTCTCTTGGTCTTCAGCCAAAGAAAATTAAAACTTACTTGGATGAAGAACTTGACAAGTGGGCTAAAGTGTGAGTAATTCTCTTGGGTACAATACATTGAATATGTCTGTTTGAGAACAATGCATTGAAGATGAATAGGAGAATATTTCTTAAATATCCCCTTTTCTAGGAAGACTGTTACTACCACAGTATCCTTTTAATAGAATATTACTTTAAAAGATCTGAATTATTTATTTATATCCCCCTTTTTATTATTCTAAATAACAAACACACACAATACTCTTTCCTCCTCCTATTTTCCTCACAACAACAATCCTGTGAGGTGAATTGGGCTGAGAGAGAGTGACTAACCTAAAGTCACTCAGCCATTTTTTTCATGCCTGAGTTTAGACTAGAATTCACCGTCTCCTAGTTTCTAACCTGGCACCTTCACTATTATACTATAGGAAAACGGAATAGTTACGGTAAGTTTTTTACATAGCTTCCATTTGGTTAGATTATTTGAAGAGTACAATTAAAATTTTAATGACTGCAGTTTAAATAATGAGGCCTTATATAGGCTTACCCAATAGTAGTTCCGACTGTGTTCAATTGGAATTTCATTTATGTGAGTGAGTAACAGGACCTGCGTATCTTTAATCTGTTTTCTTATAGAAGTTAGGATTGCATTGTTGAACTTTATCCTGGTTGTGTGATTCAAATCCTCATTTTATGTATTTTAGTCTCCAGTCTTTATCATATGTTTTCGTAAAACATTGTTTGCTCTTTTAAAGAACAATCCATACAAACTATATGATGTTTGTTTCTGGACTGTGTGTCTTGGCATTTGCTTTCTTAATCCTAGACTAACTTGAGTGGGGCAAGATCTTTGCAGCTATAGGCTTTTATCAAGGCATGTAACTTCTGATTCTGAAATTTTAAAATTTAAGTTTTACAATACGAACCAGATTAGGGCTGAAGTTTTTGACTTATTCAGAATTTAGTAGAGTATCACTACAGGAAAGTGTATAGTTTAATATTTGAACATTTTTCAGTGTTCTAAAAGTGACTTTCCTTGATTAAAATTGTAAGACAGTTTTCATATGACTGTAAAATTACCAGAATGTTTAAGATATCTTGAACATTAAAATAAAAATATGTTCAAGTTGAAAATAAAACATTAAAAATCATATATATGTTGATCCTCAAGAATCCAAATTTATAAATGTGCTATATAGAAGCATAGCAGTTCAAAATCAAACTTGAACACAAAAAAGATGAGGATTATTTTTTGCTTGGTTTGATTTTTTTTTATTACCATTTTATGAAATTCACATACATGAAAATATTCTTCAGTCTTTACGCCAGCGGTTCTCAACCTGTGGGTCGCAACCCCATTTGGGGTCGAACGACCATTTCACGGGGGTTGCCAAACAAGGCTGTCCGCCATTTTCCCCCCCTTTTTTTTAGCTGTGCTACTCCCTCTTATTCTATTGGCTTTTGAAAGCCAATAGAATAGACTCTATTCAAGAGACTCTATTCTATTGGCGTTCGAAAGCCAATAGAATCTATTGGCTTTTGAAAGCCAATAGAATAGACTCTCTTGAATAGAGTCTAATTCTATTGGCTTTCAAAAGCCAATAGGAATTATCCAGGCTGTCTCTGCCCTGCTGAGACCGCCAAAAGCCCCAGTTTGCAAACGGTGCTGCAAGGAAAGCTTCCCTCCCTGCTGAGCAACTACTAAAAGTAAGTAGAAGAGGGCCAGGGATGGAAGGTGGGAGGCCGGTGAGTGCAGGGAGGGTTGCTGGCGCGCGTCGGGCTTGGTGGGTGCCTTACCTGCCTGGGCTGGGCCAGCTGGTGGCCCAGCCGGTGGTCGCCCTGCGCCGTCGCTGCCACTTGCCGGGGCCGCCCAGGAGCGCCTGAGCCTACCTGCCGCTGCCCCGAACAGGCGGTGGCCAAGGTAAGGCTAGCAGGGCAGCGGTGGGCGCAGGGAGGGTTTCTGGCGTGTGTGGGGCCCAGCAGGTGCCTTACCTGCCTGGGCTGGGCCAGCTGGTGGCCCAGCCAGTGGTCGCCCTGCGCCGTCACTGCCCCTTGTCAGCTAGGCCTCAGCCAGCGCAGGGGCGGCACCATACATGCGCGGCACTCCCGGGCAGGAAAAGTCTTCGACTTACAACCGGTTGGATAGTCCTTGACTTATGACCGGTTGGGAAGTCCTCAACTTACAACTGGTTGGGGGTCGCGGCATTAAAAAGGTTGAGAATCACTGCTTTACACATTTGTAAAGTTGAGGATGGAGTTCTCTGTTTAAAAATGCATATAAAAATCTATACATTGTGGAAATACAAAAGGGGGGGCGGAGTTCTTGCAGAGGTGAATATGTTCTGGAAAATGTCTAGAAAAATAAGTACACATTTCTGTGCATGTCAAAAGACATAATTTCTGTCTATACTTAAAAAGAAAAGGAACAAAAAATTATGCTTGTACCAGTTGGAGCAAAATTAGGACTGAAAAACATAAATGTTAGAGCAGTGGTTCTCAATCTTTTTATACGGCGACCCCGGTCATAAGGATGCACCGCGCATGCATGGCGGCGCCCCCATGCGCGGTGCGCATGCGCGACGGTGCCCCCTGAGGGGAAAAAATGGCGGATCGCATTGTTTGGCGACCCCTGTAAAATGGTCGTTCGACCCCAAATGGGGTCGCGACCCAAAGGTTGAGAACCGCTGTGTTAGAGGAAAAAATGATGAATCTATCTACTAATACCAAAATATGTTATTTTATATTATTCTTAGTAAATATCATGCTGAGGAAATAATTCATATCCATTTCTTCAATTATCACAGTTCCAGAGATTTTATTTCTGCTTTTATTTTGAGTAGAGGAACTTTGTAAGCTTAGTTTTTAATCCATTAATGAAGCTCTTAATTATTAAATTATATTAAGGCTACTCTCTTGTACACATGGAAAATTATTCTTACTGAACTCAGTGAAACTCAACTATTTTACTATAAGTTCGTTGGTCAATGACCAAAATAAAATGATTGACTGAGTAATGTAAGTCTGAAAAATAATGCTTATGCAGTTTTTCTTTAAAACAGAAAATCAAAGTCAATAAAAGTGTCATGGCTCATTGTGGAGGAAAGGGCGAAGGAGAACATTTTAACTTTAAGTCATATTCTTCTCTGTGCTCATCTAGCATAACTCTGCACTTTGCCAGCCACTTAAAAAATTCAGTCTTATCTATTTTTCTATGATTGTCATAGAAGATCAAAGCAATTGCTGACTTCATCGAAGAGGTAAAAGTTAAATAGCTGTTTCCTCCATTCATACGAGACCTGCAGAAGTAATATTTAATCTTCCATAACTTGCTATTTGATTAGTTCATTTTTACATGCATGAGTTGTGACAACAAAAGGATTTGAGGATGAAGAAAAACATATTTAACATTTGTCGAAGATCTCTATCTTAGAGCAGTTGTCCAAATGTGATTGACAATAATACAAGGTACTTGTGTTGGGAGTTGTGAAGGATGTGGAAACCATCACCTGAACTCTGTAGAATACTTTGTAGAATGTAGCCATACATCTCTACCTGTGAGAAAGGTATTAATCAAAAAATTACAAATCGAAGAATCAAATGTAGCAGGCAGTCTTCTCCATTGGCATGATTCATATGGAAGTCCCATGTACCTTTGTTGGACCCCTGTATTAATTTATTGTTGACAAATCTCATAGGTTTTGAAGTCCTTCTCTGAAATCTTGTGAGATTTTGAAATAAGAATGCCAAAATTTGACAAGATAAAGAAAAAGAGTATATTTGGAAAACTGAGAAAATAGGAAGAAGAAGAAAATGAACAGATGGGAAGAACAGCACTATACACGTGAAATAAAAAAAACTCTCAAAATAGGCTGAAATATCAAAAGTCAGGAGGATTCAGAATGAAAGCAAAGTCATGCATTTTTAGGCATTGGAGATAAGTGAACCTCAGCCTTTTAATGAATACTCAATACTTTCTTCCCCAATAACTTAATATCTATATTTCAGGTAGCAGTGGATTAATAAAAAAATATGACAAGAACAGAAATGACAACTTGTTAATGCCAACATTTATGGGCGTCCTCAGGCATAGTACTGAGTTAAGTCAGGATGATGAGCTTCGTATTCCGTTTCTTCAATTATCAGGATTCCAGAAACTCTACATTTATCTTTCTATGACACTGGTTCTCAACCTTTGGGTCGGGACCCCATTTGGGGTTGAACGACCATTTCACGGGGGTCGCCAAACAACGCAGTCCGCCATTTTCCCCCCTTTTCCATAGCTGTGCTACTCCCTTTTATTCTACTGGCTTTTGAAAGCCAATAAAATAGACTCTCTTGAATAGAGTCTAATTCTATTGGCTTTCAAAAGCTAATAGGAATTGTCCAGGCTGTCTCTGCCCTGCTGAGCCGCCAAAAGTCCCATTCTGCAAACGGTGCTGCAAGTTGTCTGCAGCGAAGGCGAGCTGTCTGGAAGTTTCCACCCCTCCCTGCTGAGCAACTACTAAAAATGTAAGTAAAAGAAGGCCAGGGGTGGGAGGTGGAAGGCCGTCGGGTGCAGGGTGGGTTGCTGGCGCGCGTGGGGCCCGGCGGGTGCCTTACCTCCCTTGGGCTGGGCCAGCTGGTAGCCCAGCCGGTGGTCGGCCTGCGCTGTCTCTGCCGTTTGCCAGCTACGCCTTGGCCGGCGCAGGGGGTGGCCGCGCATGCGCGGGGCTCGCGGGCAGGGAAAGTCCTCGAGTTACGACTGGTTGGGTAGTCTTCGACTTATGACCAGTTGGGTAGTCCTCGACTTACAACCAGTTGGGGGTCGCAGCATTAAAAAGGTTGAGAACCACTGTTCTATGGAGAGTCTCAGTTATCCACATCGTGGTTGTCCCAAAGGTGTTTTTTTCCCCCCCAAAAAGCAACTGTTTTTCCTTCAAGATGTTTCGCTGAAGAAGCTTCTTGGATGAGCAACAAAACTTCAGGGAGAATGTTTGAAAAACACCTTTGGGACTCTATGTGTATCTTTTGTTTCCTTTGAATATAGCATCACTTCTGTGTTGTTGGCTGTT